AACCATTGAAATGATGTTATGGAGGTTGTTGTACAGGCTGAAACTGAGAACTACTTTCCTTATTTCTTGCTCCTCCAGTTGAATTATTAACAGACAGAGACTGTGACTTGACATACGTATCAACTTGAACTGTTGCCACTGCCATTGAATTAGAACACATTGTTTCATCCTTTTCCTTTCTTGGTTTACTTTCTTCCAAATGCATGTTTTGTTCTGACGCAGCAGACCTATACACATTGGCTTTAGCCATAGACACAGCTATTTTAGTTTGAAGATCAATTTATTCCTTTTTCTTTCTTAAACGCTCCTCTTCTTCTTCTAGAGCATGCTTCTGTTGCAGCATTTGCTGACTGGCTAATAAAGCCGCCACTTCAGCTTCAGCTTGAAGGCGAGCAGATGATGCAGATGATCTACTAGATCGTGAACTCGAAGAAGAGCTCCTTTTGCTTGATTTTTTGCTGAGTACATTGGAAATACTATCAGTTGGTTTGATCTCATCCATGAAATGCTCACACGTCAATGCATTACATTCCGCAGCTTGGTCCAGAATCCTTTGTGAATTTGCATTTGCATCAGAGGTTGCAGCAGCAGAAGTTGCTGTGGCAGGCAACAAATCACTTGACAGAGATTGTCCTTGAACCGTTGTAGTCATTGTTGGTATTCCATCTATTACTGAATGAAATGACAGTGGAATTTCATCACTCTGTCCAGATGCTGCTGCTATATGAGTCATTGAAGTTTTCCTAGGTTTAAGATCAGACAGCCATTGCTCCACATCTTCTATAAATCCTTTGTTGAACCGAAAAACTGATCCATACCATTCATTTTGCTTTATTTGTTCCTCAGTGGGAAGTAAAGGAATCACAGTCTCATGCAACAGAGTAACATCATCTCTCAAAAGCTTCAGCGTTTCCAGTAAAGAACAAACTTTGGAAGAATTTTCATCATTTTGCATAAGCTCTTTCATTGAAGCAATCACATTTTTTATTTTTTCCACTTTGGATTTACAATCCTTTTGTAGAGATTCAATCTTTAACTCCCAAGCCTTTGCGGTGAGCTTACGCTCCCTTTTCCTCTCTGTAAGCGCAACAGCCTCATTTTCCTCCATGTTCACTCATCAAACAACTTTAGCGACACATACAACTTTCAAGGCAATCCATCCAGCGCTGCGTGTAACACACGTGACATAAACTACGAACTTTCCAGTCCGCCGTAGTTTATCCAAAACAAACGGATCCGCGCTCCACATCAAGCACAACACATAGCGTCTCCAATAGACATCCAGCCAGCATATAAATAATAATCTGATTCACATACCGGTTCAAGTGCTGTGCATCTCGTGTCCGTTTCTTCTTTCAATCCACAACCGCGTTCCAATGCAGGCATGAATGAAATTTTCTTGAAAGACCGAGCGACGTTTTCTGTTGACTAGTATTCGCGGCGTCCAATAGCCACGGCGTCCAGAGGCTCTGAAGCGGGATGACTCCTGACTCGCTTGCACTCATTGCTCATATCGTTACCAAAACAATAGACTGAAAATCTTCACTTGATTTCACCTTTATTGTTGGTATCACATAAGTAGACATGATTCATTAAATCGCAATGCGGTCAACAGAAAGTAGGCTCCCGCCACTCGCCCCTTCCAAACACAGCATCAAACAGTTTAACAAAGGAAATAATAAAGAAAACGGAAGTGATCACCTGTGCCCACGTGACAGTGTATAACCAATAATAAATAGAAAACAATTAATGCTCCTACAGCCACCGCAGATGACGCACTAGTTCCGCCGCGGAGGCTCGCGCTCGCCCACCAATCCAGCCTGCCGCTCCCTGCTCCTTCTCCGCACCGGGACCCAGCCATGACGCACAGTCAGCTGGTCTCCCGCTAACAGGACCAGGAAGGAGAGATATATTATAGCGCGCCCACTATTGTTTTTCCTGTTGCCCAGCTCCGCTTTGGTGCGTAAACATATTACGCGTGCTTTTCCAAACTTCAAGAGGGAATAGTAGATGGTAAAACGGGAGTGGGGGTTCAATCTTCAACTGGCTGGCAGGAGCTGCCACTGGCAGGTCACGTGACCTGCCAGTGGCTGACTGGCAGCTGCCAGTGGTTGTCTGTCAGTCTGCCTTTGGCAAGTTTCAGAAACCATTGATTTTTGACAGTTTTTGTGTTTTGTGTTCCTCCCTTTATAGCTCATTTATTATGTATCTGTTGAAATTATTGTTATTAGTAGTAGGATCCCAATTTAATAGTCAAATGGCCGTGATCAGACTGGCAGTTTACAGACGCTGCTGGACTCATCCAGTCAGCCGCGGGTGATCAGCGAATATAACACGTTGCCTGACACTCTCGCTGAAAGGAAATAAAAAAATTCTTATTATGAATATAATGTCATGCCTTTATTCTTGTGTATGATTGGTGTTTTGGGTACTGTTGTCACGATTAAACCAGTCAAATGGCCGTGATCCGACTGGCAGCTTGCAGACGCTCATCCAGTCAGCCGAGGCTAGACTGCGAGTCTAGCGCGTCGCCTGACACTCTAAAAGGAAATAAATTGTTTTCTTATTATGAATATAATGTCATGCCTTTATTCTTGTGTATGATTGGTATTTTTGGGGCCGTTTATCCCGATTAAACCAGACAGTGAAATGTGCCTGATCACGGCCATTTGACTGGTTTAATCGGGATAAACGGCCCCAAAATACCAATCATACACAAGAATAAAGGCATGACATTCTGTCATGCCTTTATTCTTTCACACGGCAGTTCCTCTTCAGACAGCCAGGGGTAAGTATAGAGCAGATGCTGTTCTGGAAATTCACACGGCAGTTCCTCTTCGGATAGCCAGGGGTAAGTATAGAGCAGATGCTATTCTGGAATTCACACGGCAGTTCCTCTTCAGACAGCCAGGGGTAAGTATAGAGCAGATGCAATTCTGGAATTCACACGGCAGTTCCTCTTCAGACAGCCAGGGGTAAGTATAGAGCAGATGCTGTTCTGGAAATTCACACGGCAGTTCCTCTTCGGACAGCCAGGGGTAAGTATAGAGCAGATGCTGTTCTGGAATTCACACGGCAGTTCCTCTTCGGACAGCCAGGGGTAAGTATAGAGCAGATGCTGGTTCTTATTTAGGACAGGGAAGTCAAACAACAGTGCATAAACATTCCACAATTCAGCTTCAAGTCAATAGTATGTACGTACTCCCAGCAGGTGGCTGGCTTCAGCATGAGAGACTCGGTGAACAGATTCAGGCTTTCAATATGAGAGGCTCAATGGAAAGATGCTGGTTCTTATTTAGGACAGGAAAGTCAGACAGCAGTGCATAAACATTTCACAAGTCATCTTCAAGTCAATAGTTTGTACGTACTCACAGCAGGTGGCTGGCTTCAGCATGAGAGACTCGGTGGGCAGATTCAAGCTTTCAATATGAGAGGCGCACTGGAAAGAGGCTGGTTCTTATTTAGGACAGGGAAGTCAAACAACAGTGCATAAACATTCCACAATTCAGCTTCAAGTCATTCACGAGTTCACACTCACTAATGATCAGAGAATAAAAATAGTTATGCGTATTTGGCGTGCTGTCCGGGGGGAGGGCTCCGAGCTCGGAAATTGGGCCCGAACCCAGAGTACTCCCCCCGTATCTCTGTTTAGGAAAGATAATTAGGCAAGTGTGAGGAGATGGGGTGGTGGAGGGATGCTGAGAACAGTCGAGGAATAAGGGTGAGTCAACTGTGTGTTTTTATAGGCTTTACTTGTGCTGATTGAGTGAACCAGTTGATTACTGATTGCTGACAGCTGGCTGACTTGATTGTTTGATCATTAGAACGTGATCCTCCCGAAACTTGTTAATAAAACATCGATTCACGAGTTCACACTCACTAATGATCAGAGAATAAAAATAGTTATGCGTATTTGGCGTGCTGTCCGGGGGGAGGGCTCCGAGCTCGGAAATTGGGCCCGAACCCAGAGTACTCCCCAAAAAGCAAAGTAAGTAAAGGACAGCCACCTGCTTAAAGACCCCCCGAAAAGAGCGCAGAGATTGGCGGGCTGGCATTTCAAGGAGAGCCTGGTAGTTTTGGCTGGGAGAGCTCGCGGTGTCCGAACGGGAGGGTTCTTGTGGCAAAGGTCCCGGCATCGGTAAACCTCACCAGTCCTGAAAGAAAAACATAGATGCTTTACTGGGAGGGTTAGGCTATGTCCACTGGGAGGTCAATACTCGCTGGATGGAGGAGGAGATGAAGATGCTCGACCAAGGGAGCTCTTGCTGAGTCCGCTGGGAGATCAATACTCGCTGGATGGAGGAGGAGATGAAGATGCTCGACCAAGGGTGCTCTCGCAGAGTCCGCTGGGAGATCAATACTCGCTGGATGGAGGAGGAGATGAAGATGCTCGACCAAGGGAGCTCTCGCTGAGTCCGCTGGGAGATCAATACTCGCTGGACGGAGAAAGGGGAGATATGCGTACCTGACCAGGAAGGCTATCTCTGGGTCCGCTGGGAGATCAATACTCGCTGGATGGAGAAAGAGGAGATACACGTACTCGATCGGGAAGGCTGTCTCTGGGTCCGCTGGGAGATCAATACTCGCTGGACGGAGAAAGAATAGATATAAATAATTGACCGGGAAAGCTCTCGCTGTGTCCGCTGGGAGATCAATACTCGCTGGACGGAGAAAGAGGAGGTATAAATGCTCGAACGGGAAGGCTATCACTGGGTCCGCTGGGAGATCAATACTCGCTGGACGGAGAAATAATAGACATAAATAATCGACCAGGAAAGCTCTTGCTGTGTCCGCTAGATCAATACTCGCTGGACGGAGAAAGAGGAGATATAATTACTCGACTGGGAAGGCTGTCTCTGGGTCCGCTGGGAGATCAATACTTGCTGGACGGAGACAGAGAAGACATAGAAGCTCGACCAGGAAGGCTCTCGCTATGTCCGCTGGGAGATCAATATTTGCCGGATGAAGAACGAGAAGGCATGGAATGGATACTCGAAAAGTTTTTTTTTTTTTTTTTTTTTTTTTTTTTTAACCAATGAGGATTTGGTGGGCTTTTTTGACATGGAAACGATTAGTTCTGATATAAGTTTGGAACGCGTCTGAGGACCATCTTCCGAGCGCTTGGATCTGTTGCTGAGAGAGGCCTTTTTGGGCTGCTGAGGTTGCTGCTCCAATGCGGAAGGAATGACTGGAGAAATTCTCTGCTGGGATGCCTGAAAGTTGGAGAACAGATTTTAGGTGTTTTTGGAACCAAAAGCGTGTCACGGGTTTGTTAGAATCGTCGATGAACAAGGGTTCGAGAGGGGATTTTGCATGAGAGTTTCTCAGTTGGAGGTAGGCTAATATAGTTTGGAACGGTTGAATTGGTGACGAGAGGTTGAAAATATATATGAAGTGGCCTTTTTTGGTTTGGTCTGTTTTGCTCTGTTTAATCAGAAACGAGATTGTTTCGTTGTCGAGCACTGAGAGATCTGAGATGTTTGGGTGGATTTTTGGGTCAAATCTGGAAGTGATAGCCAGTTCAGAGCATCTTAGGAAACCAAAAAAGGCTAGAATGAACATGGCGTCGAGTGTGCGGGAGGTATTGAGGGATCGGTAGCCTGTGCGGAGGGTCTGAATGCATTTAGTGAGAATATCTAAAGTTATGGGTTGTCTGGTATCCGGGCGGGTGGGCTGGGATCGTTGGATGCCTTTAATCAGGAGGGAGGTTTGTGAATTATTTATTTCCGGAGAGGGGGCGCCGTGGATCAATTTGTGAAAAAATTGGATGCCGCTTAAATAACTTTTGATGGACCCGACTTGGAGGTTTTTGACACTGTCGAGGTAAGAGATAAAGGAGGTTATTGTAAGGAGGGAAAAATCAGGGAATGGCGTGTTATAAGAAAGGTGGAAGGCTTTAAAACATCTCCATGCGGTCACATAGGATTGGAGAGTTCTGGGGGAAACAGCTTGGAGAATGGTGTCGAGCGATCTGTTGAGGAGGGATTTTTGCGGGTGAGTTATGGGAATATTAATTCCGAATAATGAGGTACTGGAGTTGGGAGCTCGTCCGCCTCTGGAGCCAGCATCCTGAATTTCTGAAACATAAAGCGAGACAGAGAGTCAGCAATTTGGTTTTTTGACCCGGGGATGTGTTTTGCGATTAAGATAAATTGGTCACATGCGGAAATCCAGGTTAGACGTCTTAAAAGTGGCATTAGAGCGGGTGCATGGGAACGGCCTTTATTAATGCACTGGACTGTAGCTTCGTTGTCACAATGCACTACAATGCTGCTAGCAGTCCATTCTTTCCCCCACAGGAAGGCTGCTACTACGAGAGGGTAGAGCTCGAATAATGCAGAGGACTGAAGCGTGTCCTGTATTTGGGGGGGCCACGTAGACGCGAACCAGCGACCTTGGTAGAACCCTCCAAAGCCAACAGAGGGGGCTGCATCTGTGAACAGCTGGATGTCGAGGGGGGAGGAAATTAGATCCTTATAGAAAAAGGATAGGCCGTTCCACTGTTTAAGGAAAGTTATCCATAGCCCGAGTTCGTCGCGGCATGCCGGAGTTATGGAAATTAGATCCTCTAGTGCGTGGACTGAAGACGCGAGAAAGAGGAGATGAGAAATAAAAGGGCGGCCTTGTGGAATAATGCGCATGGCGAAGTTTAAGTGGCCGAGCATGGATAGGAGTTCGCGTTTGGAACACTCTGGACTGTCCGCGAGGGTAGATGAGATGAGGATTATCCTATCAATTTTCTCCTTGGGCAGGGAGGCCTGGAATCGAACTGAATCTAGATTAATGCCAAGGAACTCGATGGATGTAGCGGGACCCATGGTTTTTTCCTGGGCGATGGGGATTCCGAGCTCGGAAAAGACTTTTTGAACTGTGAGGATCTGGGCTGCTGGAATGGCGCCAGGAGGCGAAATTATTAGAAAATCGTCCAGCAGGTGAATGAGGTGAGGAATTGCGTAATTGTTTGACAAGATCCAGCAAACGGCTTCAGATAGCATGTCGAAAATTTTGGGGCTGCTTTTGCATCCAAAAGTTAAGCGTACGGCGAAATAAAATTTCTCATGCCAGCGCACGCCGAATAAGTGCCATGAATCCGGGTGGATGGGCATCACTTTAAAAGCTGAAGTGATGTCAATTTTAGCGAGCCAGGCACCCCGACCCACGATTTTAATCAGGTCGATTGCGTGATCTACGTCGTGGTATTTGAGAGAAAATTCGTTGAGTGGGATCAGGCTGTTAATGCTTGGGAACATGGACTTATGTGGAGCTGACAGATCGACTATGAGGCGTTTCTTACCTGAAAACTTTCTCGTAGCCACTCCAATGGGGCTAATGCGAAAATTTTTGAAAGGAGGCTCGTCAAAAGGGCCGATCATAAAGCCTGACTCGACTTCTTTTTTAATCAGGTTGTCTACCACGTCGGGCTCAGCGAGAGCCGATTGGAGATTATCGCAGATGATGTTTTGGGAGAGCGGACAAACCACTCCAGGTTTAAAGCCGTGTAGTAGGCCAGACAGCAGATATTCGGTGAATTCGGAGTCCGGGTGGTGAGCTAGTTCGATGGAAAGGCGAGAAATATTCACAGGAGTCGATAAATAATTTCTAGATTTTTTATTGACATCTTTATATACAGGGCATACGGGACGGGCATGAGCACCGCCGCAAAAGCTGCATATGTGCAAGTACCGACAACGCTGCCTGGTGCATTTGCCAATGTTAAAATTGTTGCAAGGCTGTTTGTTGTCTGTGAGTGCTCTGGAGCTGAATTTAGCCTCGTGAAGGTTGCTAGTCGCCGGTCTTGGTGTGTAGCTAGTGGATTTGACTGGAGCTGTTTCAGGGCGTGGAGAAACGAAGGGGTTAACTTGGGGACACGATGTCGTGGGATGCGACACTGACCTACAGACCGCGCAGGAAATATTCCTGCAGCCGAGGAAGACTCTACTGTGTAAGTCAGTGTCTAGTGCTCCCCAGTAAGGGCATTGGTTCCACTGAGAAACCCTAACGGCGCATTTTGCTGAAAAGAGTTTGTGGTAAGTGTAAAAGTGCCCTCCCCCGTAGGACAACGCGAGCTCGGCTATCAGTGCTAAATAGTCGTTCAGTTCGCGTCGTCTATGGGGGAAGGCTGAGCAAATGATGTCTGTGTAGTGGCTGAAAGCAATTGAAAACTCTGGAAAAGAAAGTAAACGTGACGAATGTGTATTTTGATTTTTTAAAGTGACTGAAAAATCCCCGCAGTCTAACTGACGGTTGGAATCGGATACGGGAAAAAGAGAAAGTAAATGTGAGAGATCTACATCCGCACCTGCCATAATCTGTGCTCGGATGTTTTGAGTCACCGGGGGAGGCTCCAGAGCGACGGCGTTTGGTGGAACTGGCATCGGGGAAGCTGTGAAAAGAGAATATTGTGATTTGGCATTTAGAAAAGAGCTGTAAGGGAGAGAAGCCTGGGCTGCGACTGTCGGCGGAGGCAGCCTCACGCTTAGGTCGGCCTGTGGGGCTTGAGAAGGAAGATTGAAATAAGCACCAGAGGGAAAAGGAGAAAATGGATGAGATGCCTGAGCCTGTGTTGCAAGCGGAGGTGGTCTTGCGCTTACTTGGGCTGCAGGCCACTGAAAAGGGGAGGGGTTAGTCGCAGGAAACTGATGGAAAGTTTGAGCCTCTGCCGCTAGCGGAGGCAACCTCACGCTAGCGTTTGCTACGGGAGCCGGAGGCCACTGCAGAGGAAAGGGGTTAGAAACAGCAGGAGGAAAAAACTGGGAAGCGGAATGTGAGCCGGCGGGCCCAGCTGTGAATGGCGCTGCGGCGGGAAGCGCCGTGCTGAAAAGCTGAGGTGAAGCGAGAGGCGAGTGATGTCTCGTGGCGGTGGAATCTGGAGCGCGACCCAGGCTCGCAGAAATCCTGGCGCTCCGGGCCGAAGCGCGCGGAAAACCAGACCTTGTACGGGAAGGTTGCAGAGTCGGGCGAGGCGAGTTCAGGGCCTCGCGAGAATTTCCCGGCCTGCTGGCCGCCTTGGAACCTGGGGTGGATCTAGGAGAGATGTTTGATGATTGCAAGGTAACGTACATGTTGTAAAGTTGCACTTTAGTCATCCTGCGCGAGGGCTGAAAATCTGAGTTTATCAGCGCTTGTCTTAGACTCAAGACTGTCCACTTTTCAATAGGCGGAATCGTTGGCACGGCCGAACGATAGGAGGACGCTGGGGAGGAAGCTGGAGTCCTCGCCGGTGGAGGTGAGGGTAAGCCCCGGCGTCTTGGCATGCAAGGAGTTGTTTGTACCGACCGGCGCCCACGAGATGAAACGTGGGGCTCGGAGGCGGTATCAGGTGGAGAAGTTGTCCTGGGGCCAGCTGATGGCGGCGGAGCATGGTTGAGGTGGTCATCGGATGTTGAAAGTTGCATTTGGGACATCTTTTTGCAAAGCAGTACACCAAATGCTGAGAACAGTCGAGGAATAAGGGTGAGTCAACTGTGTGTTTTTATAGGCTTTACTTGTGCTGATTGAGTGAACCAGTTGATTACTGATTGCTGACAGCTGGCTGACTTGATTGTTTGATCATTAGAACGTGATCCTCCCGAAACTTGTTAATAAAACATCGAATAGTATGTACGTACTCACAGCAGGTGGCTGGCTTCAGCATGAAAGACTCGGTGAACAGATTCAGGCTTTCAATATGAGAGGCTCAATGGAAAGATGCTGGTTCTTATTTAGGACAGGGAAGTCAGACAGCAGTGCATAAACATTTCACAAGTCATCTTCAAGTCAATAGTTTGTACGTACTCACAGCAGGTGGCTGGCTTCAGCATGAGAGACTCGGTGGACAGATTCAGGCTTTCAATATGAGAGGCTCAATGGACAGATGCTGATTCTCATTTAGAACAGGAAAGTCAAACAGTAGTGCATAAACATCTCACGACTCCTCTTCACACTGGATAGACCGGAGGCACACTCCTGCACAGTGCATACTCAACGCACACATTAAGGGGTTAATTCTGGAATAAGACAGCTGGGGGCACGAACAGACACAACAATCCTCACCTCAGTGCAACCGTCAATCACTTCAAATAATCATATGTGATCACTCCACAATAGTCACTTCACACAAGGCACAGCAACTCACACCACTCGCAGTGAATAAGATCTCCACTCGTGATCCCAGCCAGCTCCCTCCTCTCGTGCCGATGGAACAGCGTATCCACACTGTATGGAGAGTATACTACGCACACACCATGTTACTGCTGTCTCTCTTTCTCTATCCGGGGTTAAACTGCTGTGTTCAGGCTCCTTCCCTGCCGTGGGTTCCTCTGTCCCCTGCCGCGCTCTCCTCTTCACTCAAACATCCGCTTTTATGATCCCCCTCGTGAACGCGATGATTCAATCTCCGCCCATCTCACAGCTGCCGCTCGTTTCTACTTTGCGGAATCCAGCCGAACTGTTTTTCAGGGAGCAACCAAGCCTCCACCAAAGGTTTTGGATAGTTCGGGCAGGGGCGGATTAGATTCCGATGTATGACCCGCTCTGGGCCAGACTTCCCCTCTGGACGAATGGTGTACACCGGCTGGTCGAGACGTTGCTGGCGTTGCACCACATAAGGCTGAGCCTCCCACCGGTCGCTCAGCTTGCCCTTTCTTTGGCGCCGATTGTCCCGCAGCAAAACTCTCTCCCCGGGCAACAGCGGGGCCTCTCGTGATGTCCGGTCATATAAACGCTTATTCTTAGCAGCAGCTGTGTTTATTCTCTTAGTGACCTCTTCGTATGCCGAATGAAGTCGCTGATGGTGCTTGCCGGCCCAATCAGCCAGGCTCATAGCTTCCCCTGCCGCTGCCGTCCCAAGCAGCAAATCCATGGGCAAGCGTACATGTCTCCCAAACATCAAGTACGTCGGTGCGTACCCAGTTGTTCTGTGAAAACTATTGTTATAAGCCTGAACCAGAGCGGGAAGATTATCTACCCAGTTACTCTGACGGTCTGTGTCCAGTGTTCCCAATAAGCCCAACAGGGTCTGGTTGAACCGCTCACATCCCCCGTTTCCCTGAGGGTGGTACGGCGTGGTGTGGGTCTTCTTACACCCATAGAGCTGGCACAGTTCCTGAAAAACCTTAGATTCAAAGTTCGGCCCTTGATCCGAATGAAGGGTCTCTGGGCACCCAAATGGCTGGAATACTGTCCTCCACAAGGCATTTGCGGTGGTGACGGCAGTCTGGTCCAAAGTTGGAATGGCCCAAGCATATTTTGTAAACAGGTCAGTCACCACCAGGATATTCTGAATACGGTCCGCCGGTCGACTCAGTGTCAAGTAGTCCATAGCCACGATGTGCAGAGGGGCTTTGGCTCGTATCGGGACCAGTGGGGCTCTCACCTCTTTCCTTGTTTTGAAGAGCGTGCAGCGTGGGCAGTCCCGGATGAATGAGTTGACTGACGCCTCCATCCCTGGCCAATGGAAATGCCTTCGCAGCAAAGATAGCGTCCTCTCTTGCCCTTGGTGTCCCAACTGAGTGTGGTAAGCTTGCAGAAGAGCCTGAACCTGGCCCTCCGGTACAACCACCTGGCAGACTGCTTCGCCCCGCTCGGCATCTTGGATGGTCCGGCAGACCACCCCATCCCGCAGATAGAGCCTCTCCCACTGCCCCAAGAGTTTTCTCACCGCCCACGTCTGGGCCCGGCGTTCTGTCCTCTCCGGCTGCAGCCCCTGTGTCAACCAGGACCGTATTGCCAGCAGCCCAGCGTCTGCCGCCTGCCGTCCCTCCCACCGCTTGGGGTCCCAGCCCCAACTAGCGGGGGCTTCCTCTGGCTGGAGGCCCTCCTCACGCTCCTCCCTGGTCTCCATTGGGACGCTCCGGCCTTCGGCCCCTGGAAGTCTGGACATTACATCAGCATTAGTGTGCTCCCGCCCCGGCCGATACTGAAGTTCGTAATCATAATTAGCCAGTTGCGCTACCCAGCGCTGTTCGACTGCCCCCAATTTGGCTGTCCGCAAGTGGACTAGTGGATTATTATCCGTTATCACCAGTACCTTCGCTCCCCATAGATAGTCTTTGAATTTCTCGCTCATTGCCCACTTCATAGCCAACAATTCGATTTTAAATGAGCTGTAGTTGGAATCATTTCGCTCAGCGGGGTGAAGGCTTCGGCTTGCGTAGGCAATGACTCGTTCCACTCCCTGCTGCCGCTGGGCCAGCACTGCTCCTAAGCCGAGGTTACTAGCATCTGTATATAGGATAAACGGTTGGGTGAAGTCCGCATAGGCCAGAATGGGGGCCTGAAGCAGCTCCTGTTTGAGCCTCCGAAAGGCCACATCGCAGGCGGAGTCCCAAGCAACAGGAGGGGACCCGCAACCACGGGGACGGCCTGTACCCGCAAGGAGCTGATTTAATGGTCTGGCGATCTTAGAGAAACCCTTAATGTACCGCCGATAATACCCCACGAAACCTAAGAAGGACCTCACTTGTCGCACTGTCTTTGGTACACCCCACTCCTGTACAACGGACACTTTTTCTGGGTCCACCGAGACTCCAGAGGCACTTACACAGTGGCCCACACTGCATGAAAAGTGGGATTTTCGTCAGTAAGCGGCACTGTAGATTGTCGTGAAAGTTCAGGTTTACGACTGCACACGGCAATTTACAGGCAACACCCAAAACTGCCGTGAATTGCCGGAAATTGACGTAGGCCTTGCTTGCCAGTTGTCCCCCCATGACCCCCCTTTTCCTAAATCTAGAGGAGGCTTTGACATGTAAATGAAAATGCTGTGAGCTATACACATGCAAATAAGGGTAGGGGAGTTTCACCCCAGGTAACATTTTTCTGAAAGATATACCTCATTCTAGGACAATCTCTGGTAGAAATAGATCAGGCTCACAGTGTTTTTTTTTTGTTTGTTTTTTTTACATTACACATAATGCACAACAATTACAACAATAGCATGATATCCAAAAAGATAACAATCAACAAATAATAATTTCACTATAAATGAATAAGAAAAAATAAAAATAGGACAGAATTGAAAAAATAAAATAAAAAGGGGAAAATGACTATCTATTATGTATAATATAATGATTTAAGAGAAAGCTAGAAACCAGTAATTTGTACTACTTAAAGAAAGAAAATAGCATACACATTAATTCACTTTTCAATTAGCTTCAATATTCTTTAGTAAATACAATTGTATCACTACATTTTTTATCGATAGAGAGACTCAATATACAACGGAAAATCAGACCAAAAAAAAAAAAAAACTTCAAACAAGGTTTAGAATTATTCATTTTACTCTTATGAATATGAAATTTACCTAATAAAATTATAGGATTCATCATAACATTTACAGAAGCAGTTTTCAAATTATATGATAACATCTTTGGATGTTAATTCACAGTTATAACCAGATGGTTTTTTTTTAGTTTTTTTTTTACTGGTTT